CGCGAACGGTCCAACGGGTCCAACGACGGTTCTATAGACCTTTGACTTGAGCTCTTCTGGTATTGTCTTCTCGCAAAGAACACCAGCCACAGAGCGCCATTTCGACCAGCGCGCTCACTCAAACTCGTGTCTCATGGCAGTCCAGATTGCCATGAGACAAGTGTGGATCGGAGATATCTGAACGTGTCGTACGCACTCACTGTCATTGCCCTAAGAGAACGGGACCACCCGAGATTCTGTTGTCAAGAACTCGAATTTCTCGACTTCAGTCGGAGTCCGAGGCTAGATGGACATGACAAAGGCTCGAACCTGATTTGCATTTGGTGCTCGAGATCGCTCTTATCGTCAAAGTGTCATCAGCATCCCATTGTCACCCTCAGCCTACAGAAGCGTCCAGGGAGCCCATTTTTGAAGGTCTTATGAAGTGGCAACAACGAAGAGGAGCGAGGAGAGCAGACAGCCTTGATCCTACTGTGATATTGCGGAATTTATGATGCGGAATTTCATCGAAATGCTTGCTGATGTTCGCATGCGACTGCGCACCCACTCAATCAATTCTTCGGAGACGCCGTGCTATCGTAAGGCGTACCATATAACTTCACGCGGAACGCGATCGAATGCCTTCTCTAAATCAAGGAAGGCTAGATGGACATGCTTCCGCTTCTCACGATGTTTCTCCAGCAAGACGCGCGGCATGTATGGCGTCGATGGTGCTACAGCCGGTCACGAAGCCACACTGGTTGGTAGAGAGCTGGACGATATCACGGATACGACTGTCAACAATTCGCTCAAAATTTTTTATGTGGGCGAGGCGAATTGGCGACAAAGCAGTCTGCAGGGTTGCCCTTCTTCTCCCAGATCGGAACCATTGTGCTTTCTCGCCACCCTTCGGGCAAATGCGAAGATCTGATTGAAGAACTTCGTCAACCATTCAGCAGAATACTAACAGTGTGACCTCCACACTTCAGTCGCCAGGTCGTCAGAGCCTGTTGCTTGCCTGGCTTCATTTCCTGGGAGCCACTTCTGTTTCTTTTGCGGTTATCTTCTGAACGGGACCGTATTGGTGAGGCATGAGGTATGGCCAGATGTCTATTTTTGCAGAGATTCTCCCAGAGTAGTTGCGCCATCGCCTAAGCACCTTCTTTCGGTTCATCAGAAGACGGCACTTCCTGTCGTTGATGCTCAGGAACTTCTCTACATCCACGGTCTGGCGGTAATGATCTTTGGCAAGTCGGTAGATGTGACGCTCGTAGTCTCGAGCTTGCAGCTTCTTCCTGACGTGTTTGAAGTGAGCGGCTTTTGCAGCAGCCACAGCCTTCTTTGCTGCACACGGCTTCCTGGTATCTCCACCAGTTGTCAGCGGACTTGTCTCCGGAGAAACAAGTGATAGCGCTTCTTCTTCTGCAAAGCTTCCGTCTCACTT